GGTTGGAGGCCATCGCTATTAGGTTGGAGGCCATGGCTATTAGGTTGTCTCATGGCATGTTTCATTCCTTAAGAAAGTGCCAAGGTCTTGGCCCTCGCTGTTTTGCTTTGACAGAACAAGGTGGGGCAGCGGCGGGTGTGTGAAGGGACCACCGAAGACCCACGGTGAACCAAGGGCCCTTGTTACTAGTAGCATGCCCTTTGTTCCTAGTAGCGATGCCCTTTGTTCCTAGTAGCATTCTTGTGACTAGTAGTAATGCCAGGAGCGCCCCTAGTAGCGTCCTTGCTTCTAGTAGCGGTGCCCTTGTAGCTGGAGTCCTCATCTACGTTGCCTCTTCCTACCACACTGATAGTCGCAATATATTGCAGTGTACTCTCAGAACTGCAATGCACAGTATGCCGGTTGGCCCAAACACATCAAAGGAAACCAAACCCCGTTAGGTTGGAAAAAGGCTTGTGGGCAATGATTGAAGGTTCAGACACTCTGTTTTTTTTGCATTCAGCCATGACATGGAGACACAAAGCTGTTTACATCAAAACAGAACACCTCCCTTTGCTGGGATCTCAGATGGGTAGACAGAAGACCTTTACCGCCTGTGCCAGATTCGACCTGCCATTCGCATTGACCCAACAAGACTTTGTAACGCGCTCTCTATTGGCTTGGTCCCAAACGTTGGGTTCAATTCATTCGACCCGAGGATTTGCTTTGGCTTTTGCGGCAGCTCCATCCTTGGTGATCGGAGCTGGAGCCGGAGAGGGTGGGAAAACCATTTTGTTTCGACCGGATGCTGGGCGGATCAAGCGGGTCCATGGAGTCCCAATTGGTCACCCTAAACATGCACGTTAAACAGATGGTGATGGGTGTGAGTCCATGGGAGACCCCCTGGCCCTGGCTGGGTAGACGACCGTCTATTTCCCGACGGGGTCGTTGCCTGGGAGGTCTCCCTATTTGAGCTTCACACAATGTACGTAATATACAGAAGGGCAAGGGTAGTTATATATTATATAGACGCATACTGGTATGATTGAATATCCAGTAGCTTTGTGTTCGAACAGATGTGGCATCCAAGGAGTATGTGGAATATCTCAAGAAGAAGGGCGACTTGCCTGCGTGAAGGGGAGAATGAACCTAATTACTTTTTATTCTATTTATTTCTTGTTTCTATTAGCTTTTTCCTAGTAGTATGGCCAGGAGCCCCTAGTAGCGCAGGAGCGCCTAGTAGCTTCTTGTTACTAGTGAGACAGTCTAGACACGGTCGTTGTTCTACGCTTCAGGTATAGACACGGTCTACTGGAGACAGTCACTTCAACTCTACGACATCTTCTTGCGCTTCGTTGTGGGGTATTTGGAGTGCTACTACCCAAAGAAAGAGGACCTTGCAAATGACCCAGAGATGAAGGCGGCTGCCAGGCACGCGAGGGCCTCGCGTGGTCACTCTTCAATCTGGCCCTCTGGGGCCCTCTCCACAAGCATCCGTGTGCACACACATATAGAAATGCGTACTGACTCGAATGCCGCAATGCCGCTCGCCACACGGCAACCTAGGTAACCAAGTGCCTAAGGGTTCAGGTGAGTTACAAAACTGAATGACTCCACGAAACCTCCAATGCCTCCAAAGCAAACCGAAATGACTTGTCGCTGCATTAGCCCTTGAATCGCAAAGACACGAAGTGCAGAAACAACGTATTGGACAGCTTTGGCTATACTTACGTTCTCAAAAGCAGGTACACCAGGTTGATCAGACCTGCCTTCCACCATCACGCATAGCTTCGTTGGCATGCGTTTGCGTGATGTCCGCATGCCCCCTGCTCAATAAGTTAAAAGAAAAAGAACAAGTCCAACCCAAAAGGATCCCTGTGATTCCAAGGGTTACACACACACACACGCCTCCCCGAGGGGACGCAAGAGGCACTAAGGTCAGGGCAAATGTGTGAGTGTGTACGCAGAAAGACAAAAGAATGAAGACATGAAGAGGTGACAAGACCGGACAAAGGTGTGCGGTGGCAATGAAAGGGAACCAAGTGCACAGGGACAACCGATGAGAACCCACCTCATTGTAAAGACCTGGGCGACCTAAAGTGTGCGCAAAGAAGGAAAGCGATGAAATGACAGAACATGAAGACAGGAAGACATGAAAGAAAAGAGAGGAAAAAGAAGTGTGTGAAGGGGAAAGGATGAAAAAGGGGAACCAAATGGAGGGGACGAGAACCGATGAAGCCAAACCTCATTAGCAAACCTATGCAAACCTCGTTGAAAAAGTATGTGCTGTGTGTGCACCTGAGGTAGCGACGGGTAAGCCAGCTTGGAATGCAATAATCCATCAAGTCTTGGCAAGTAACTTTGGCGTAAGCCTCCTGCTGTCCGCTCTGGACACGTACATCTCCGGGCAGGGGAGATAAGGACAAACCCCCGTTCGACGGGTCCACAGGCACTCTACGGGCTCACCCTGGGCTCTCACGAGGAGAGACGGAGAGACACACTTATAGACATGCGTACTGACTCGAATGCCGCTCGCCACACGGCAACCTAGGTAACCAAGTGCCTAAGGGTTCAAGTGGGTTACAAAACTGAATGACTCCACGAAACCTCCAGTGCCTCCAAAGCAAACCGAAATGACTTGCTGCTGCATTAGCCCTTTAATCGCAAAGACACGAAGTGCAGAAACAACGTATTGGACAGCTTTGGCTATACTTA